CGCCTCCCAGGGCCAGCCAGCCCTGGCCATGGTCGTCTAAAACCAGCCCCTGGGCCGGGGCCGTGGTTCACTTGGTTAATCCTCTGCCTACGGCGCCGGCATCCCATATGGGTGCTGGGTTCTAGTCCCGGTTGCTCCTCTTCCAGTCCAGCTCTCTGCTGTGGCCTAGGAGGGCAGTGGAGGATGGCCCGGGTGCTTGGGCCCTGCATCTGCGTGGGAGACCAGGAGGAAGCACCTGGCTCCTGGCTTCGGATGGGCATAGTTCCAGCCGTAGCGGCCATTTTGGGGGGTGAACCAATAGAAGGAAGACCTTTCTCTCTGTCTCTCTCTCTCACTGTCTAACTCTATCTGTCAAATAATAAATAAATAAGTAAGTAAGTAAATAAATAAAACCAGTCCCTGCCCCACCTGGAGGGATTCCTACAAACAAGCAGGCATCTCCTCACCTCCAAGTGACAAGCCACAGCCAAGACAATGCCACCTTGTCACCTTCTCAAGCCCAGACCAGGCCTCTGGCTCCTCGTCGGGCCTGGGCCACACTGAGGGCCTGGACAGCGTGACAGAGCCAGGCACCAGCTTCCCTAAGACACACAGCACTGCAGCCCCCAGGGCCTCCAAGCACCGGCGCCAGTCACGCATATCACAGACATTCCCACGATCCCCCACTAGACATAACCTACACGCCGCAGAGATTTACACAGCCTCGTGGCAAACCCTACACACACACCCACAACCCCCACAACCCCTAGAGAGACACGCAGGCCTTACCTACACCCACAGAAACACATCCGCACTCCCCCCATATGGACAGACACACACCCCCAGTCTCACAAGCCACGGCCATACCCAGTGTGCACTCAGCTGTGACAAAACTGGCCACTCTGGCCACAGTGTGTATCAGTGGACTCGTACATGGGACTCTTATGATAAACATAAGCTTCCAAGAAGAACTCAGGGGCCCCCTGATGCCCTCCAGCGAGCTCCCTGGGGTGACGCCTCCCTGGGCTCCAGCAGTTTGCCCAGCCTCCTTTAGCTCAGGGCCCCAAATGCCACAGGTCCCCGTCAAATGCACACACCCAGCCTAGGGCGTCACTCCTGGCCCTTGAAGAAGGGGCTCTGAGGGCGGGGAGGCTCTGCCACATGTAGAGACGTGGGATGCCCTCCTGGGGTGAGACCACCCGGGCTCCCACCAGCTCAGCTCCCAGGAAGGGAGCGACGTGGAACAACACAGCGAGGCCATCAAACATTCATGTCCCATGGGCAGATCCGCTTCCACCGCTCTCCTGTCGACCTGACCCCTCCGGGGGACTCTCCTGGGGGTGGCTGGAGCCAGCCAGGGGGTGGCACACAGCACTTGAGGCCAGTCAACCTCACCCCCCCTCCAGGGAGGGGCTGCTCAAACTCTGCTTTGTCCTGTCCCCAACCTCACCCAGACCCCCCCACCCCCAGCAACCACACCTGGGGGGCAGGGAGAAGGTCAAGGCAGGAGCCCTGTCTGCAAATATATTCCAATCCTCTTCCCCGCAAGCCCCTAGGGGGTTGGCTTCTCATCTCCCATTTCACACTCTCAGCCCCCACGCTGTGCCCCCTGCCCACCCCCAGCTCCCCACACCAGGACCCGAAATGCCAAACCCAGTCTTCCTGAACCAAAGAGCCCTTGAGCTTCGGAGTCTGGCCTGAGAGCAGCAGCTGCCCGTCCCTGGCCTTCCTTGATGGCTGGGGGGGGGGGGGGGGGGAGTCCCAGGGGCCCTCTGTACCGTAGTGGCTGGCTCTGGCCCTGGCCTTGGCCAGCCTCTGGGCAGGGTCCTTCCAGGGAAGCTTCTGGGGTGGTTTCCTCCTCCGGGGCCTGCAGCCACCGAAGCTCCTCGGGCTGCAGGGCTTGGTACCAGGGCGGGGGTCCACCGTCTGGTGCCAGCACAGGGCTGGCAGCCTCCTGATCAGGCCCGCAGGCCCCCTTGGCCCCTGGCCTCCCCACCGCACCAGGGAGCTGCAGGAATCGCTGCATGGCGGGGACAGCAGGTCGCGCTCTGGGTTGGAACCGAGCTGGCCAGGGAGCTGGGGCTGCCTGTCACTCTCACCAGACAGCCCGGCCCTGAAACTCAGTAATCGGACACTGGCGGGGAGGGAGGCGCTGGTTTCCTACTGCTGGGAGGCCAGGCCCCAGGAGGGACAGAGGGCGGAGACTGGGTGTTTCGGGTTGAGCAGGACTTGTCTCCCCAAACCTCACGCAGATACGCTAAAGGTTGCCGGAGTAAGGTGCCGACTTGATCCAGTGACGGCATCTGTGAGGCATGTCTGGTGGGAGGTGTGCAGGTCAGTGGGGGCTCCTCCTCGGAGGGTTGATTATTATCAGAGTTCAAGTTCGGCCTAGGAGTTTCCCCTCTCTGCTTCCTGGCTCACGGTGTGACTGTCTCTCCGTGCCCATGAGAGACGCCGGACTACAGGGCTACCTGCTGCTGCACCGTAGCCTCCACTGCATAAGCCGAACTAGACCTCTCCTTTCCCAAGAAGTGAATATTTTAGTTACAGTGACAAAAAGGGGGCTAATAAGTCTACACCCCACACCCCAGACTCCAGGCAGAGGGGCAGGGTGTTGTACAAACAGAAGCCAGGGACCCCCCCAAGACCACCCCCAGACCTCAACTTCCCGGGGAGCCTTCCACAGCCCCTCCCCATCTCTGACCCCAAGCCTCGGGCTCCTCCCTTGCCTTGACAGAGCCAGCCCTTGGTTTCTTCCTTCCTCTATCTCCACCCCGCCACCCTGGGGCCATCCTTTGGTCACCTCCTTAGCCCTCCACGCCCCCGCCTGCCAGCCAGCCCCCACCTGCCAGCCAGCGCTGGTTGACTTCACTTGCCATGAGTACCGAGTACTGAGCCCCTCGACCCGAAAAGTTCCCACTCCCAGTCTTGCTCTCCACTACCTGCCTCTCCCCAAAAATGAAAGGCTGCAGGTAAAATCCCCCGCAGCTCACGGTGCGCACCTGTGCCCGCTTGTCCTCCATCTGGGCAGAGCTGCTCCTCCCGGCACTCGGAGATCCGGGCTTCCTCTATGCCCCCTGCCTCCCCGCCTCCCACACTCCTGTCTCCTACCCAGCCACATTCAGCTTGCTGTAGACGCCTCCCAGCCTCATACCAAACACAAAAATAACAGCAAAAGAGACAAACAAACCTCAGAACTGGAGTTCCCTCGAGCAGTTCTCTCTCTCTCCTTTGCAATCAAGCTTCTTAAAAGCCACGTTCCCACTCACTGTTTTACTTATTCACCTCCCACTTGCCCTTTTATTCACTCCAGCCTGGGTTTAGATGCTGGGTCACGAACATAGCCAAATGCAGATATGGATAAAGCAGAGACGGTGCCGTTCCAACAGTGGCCAAACCTACATGGATGACACATGTGCATCCGTTGCATTTGTTCACCTTTTCTGCATGGTTAAAGTCGATCATGATAGAATGTTGGGGGAAAAAAAAAATCTAGTTCCTGTCTGGTCTCCTAGGGCAGGAGATGAGGACTGGATGACCATTGTCATCCAATGGTCTCAAATCTCCTTCCCTGCTGGACTTGACCTTGGTGGACACTGATACTACTGACCATTCCCCTTCTTCCCGAAATCACACTTTGTTATCTTCCTGCCTGTTGCTTCACTTCTTCTTAGGTTCTCTGGTCACCCCTAATGTTATTTTCTGAGTTCTGTCCGAACTCACGTCCATCTGCAGCTTTAACGGACACATGTATATTAACAATCCCCTGACTGCTCTCATGGAATCCAAATCCCAATACCCATCTACCCACTAGCCTTGCATGGCCCTCGGAGGGCTACAATCTCAGCCTGTCCCAAGCTGGGCTCAGTATGCTTGCAATGCGTCTCTCTCCGATTACACTACAGAGCAGCCCCATCTATCCTGCTCAGGAGCTGGTAACCTGGGCGTCTCCCTTACCTTCTCCCAGCCCCTCTCTCCCACCCCCACGCCCCATATCCAACATTCACCAGGTCTGTAGCTCCCCCCTCCTCAATAGCCCTCAGATCCGCAGCCCCTCTGGGGAGCCTAGGCCACTGCTGCTCTGCCTGTCACCGTCACGCCCCCTCACTCGTCTCACCTGCCATCCCTTCTCCACAGTCCAGCCTGTAACCCTTCCAAAACACCCATCTGGTGATGGCACCAGCTTGGAACCCTCCAGCAGCCATTCCCAGCCTCATTTCTGGTCACTCCAGTGGCTCGCACGGTGATTCTGGCCACACTGCACCTGCGCCCGCAAAGCCGGGGGTCCCCACTCTCCTTCCTTCCCCATTCTCGTGCAAGTGCTTTGCTCTGCCTGGGAAGCCCCTCGCCCCACTCCCAGTGCCCCCACTGCACCGAACTGTCACTGTCTGGTTCTCATCTGTGCGCCTCTCCATAGCAACCTGAGAGCAGTTAGCGTCTCACGCTCACAGCTGCACGGTGGTCAGCACCGGCCAGCATAAGGCGGGCCTTTAATAATTGCTGATCGCAGAATGTACGGATAAACAAAATAATCAAAAGCGGATTGGAGGAAGGGATTGAAACAGAGGGGCAGTGTCGGGGGGCAGGAGGACAGCGTCGGGTGGGAGGTGGGGACCAGGGGGCAGAGAAAGGGCCCGGCCTGTGTCTGCACGCGGGGCGAGGCCCCAGGTCCAAACTCCTGTTTGCCGGCCTAGATCCCCATCCCCCACCTAAAAGAAAATCTGGAGCCCGCTCTCCTAGCGCGGAAAAACGTGGGAAACTCGCAAGCCGGCTGCAAACAGGAGGAACCCCAGAGAGGAAGCAGGCTGGCCCAGCCCCCACTCCGGGTCTGCCCCTCCGGACGGGGAGCGCCCATCGGGCCCGGGCTGCAGGGAAGGGGCTGGGCGGCCTTCCGGCGGGGCCGGGGCCCGGGCCGGGGCCGGGGCGGGGCCTGTGCGGGGCCAGGCGGGCGGGAGGGCCCGGGCGCTGTCCATGGTGCCCGCGCGCCTCGCCCAGGCCCGGCCCTCCGCGCGCTCGCTCACCGCTTGTAGTCGGAGGAGAAGATGCCGCCGCTCGCCGGGTCGTGGCCGTATTCGGGCTCCCCGGGGCCGGCGGAGCCGCCCTTGTCTTCGCTGTAGGCGGGGGCGGCCGACATGGGGAGGCCGGGGGTAGGGCTTCGCTGGGCAGGAGGAGGCTGCGGGGCCGGGGTCCGCGCCGGGGCCGAGGCCGGGAGGCCGCGCTGGGCGGACGAGGTCGGTGCGCGGCCCGCGCTCTGCAGAAGCTGCGGGTGGTGGAGTTGGCGGCGGGGCTGCTGCTGTGCGCGGGCGCATCAATCAGGGCCGCGCGCCGAGGTTCTTAAAGGCACCGGCGGCGGCGAGCCGAGGGCGCGTCCGCAAGGGGGCGGAGAGGGCAGCCGCGCCGGCCCCGCCCCAATCCCACGGAAATCCCCTCTCCCGGATGGTTCCTGCCCTTTAAAGGGACCTCGCGCACCTGCCAGGCTTGGGGTGGGTGAGGCTGGTGGGCGCAGAAGGGGACGGCCGTCCCGGGGATGCGCAACGCCTGCCCCGTCCTGCGACCGCCTGGCCTAGCGGCTCCGCTCACCGCAGACACAGGAGAGGATGCTCACCCACCCAAAGGGGGAGGGGGACAGGAGGTGGTGCCGTCTATGGAGAGGCTGGCGGGGTGGGGGGGACTTCCAGGCAGAGAGGTGGGTTATGGGTTACAGAAGACAGCGAAACCGTAATAAAGCTTTGGAAAAATACTTTAATGACCCCTTCTGAGGTCCCCACACCATCCGGGAGGGCCCAAGGTCACGCCTAGTCCACGGTTAGGTCCATGTCCATAGACACCTAGGAAGGAAGGGAAAAGGCTGGGTTAGGGGGCTGGTGCGACCACCAGGACTCCTGGGTCGTGTGATGTCGGGGTGGGGCGGGGGAGAGGAAGGTAGGACTGCCGGCCAGACTCAGAAAGAAGAAAACAAACTCGGCTGGGAGGAGGAGTAGGCTCTCCATGGGCCAGCGTTTGAGGCATCAAGTTGGGTGGCCAGGGACCTCTGGGCTGGGCTTGGGTCGTGTTAGAGTTCATAAGGACTGGTCTAATTGTAATAAAGTTAACAGCTCCTCTGTGGATAGGGATCGCGAATGCTCAGAGGCCAGGTGGAAATGGACAGGGCCTGGGAAGGCGGAGCTTGGCTCAGTAGGAAGAGTCTGTTGGGGGAATGAGAATGTGGCCGGGATCTGTGAGCTTGGGGTCTGCCCGAATAAAGTTCATCTGGAGCTCGGAGGCACGTGGCTCCGGCGGAGGGCAGAGGGTCTGGATTTAAGAGGACCCCCCCCCCCATGGAATCCGCGCTTACCAAGCTGCCGGGGTCCCCTTCCGGGTGGATCAGGCTCAGAGCAAAGTGCACGCAGTTGCTGCGCGTGGGGTGATAGACAGGCGGGTCGGCGTCCATGGCCTCGCGGACGCGGCGCTCCAACAGCGCGCGGTCCACGCCGCCGCGTCGCCTTAGCACACGCCAGAGCAGGCGGGAGCGCAGCAGCGGGCGCTGGCCCTGTTTGCACACCACGCCTTCGGAGGAGCGCACTACGGAGTCCAACCCGAAGCCGCCGGAGCTCCTGCCTGTGGGTTTTGCCAGCCAGCGACACATCAGAGCCAGGTTTAGGCGCTGTGCCCCGTGGCCCTGCACCCGCACTGCCGCCACCTGAGGCCCCCTGAGCCCCACACTTTGGCTGCTCAAGCAGGCATCTTCAGAGACCCACGCCCACAGCCCAGGACCACGCTATTCACCCCGGAACGGCTGGCCCGCTGCTGGGCCTCTCCCTGCATTCGTGGGCCCGTGTGTTTCAGTTGGAGGTGCTCACCCTCAAAGTGGATGATCTCTCCACGGCCACAGTATACACCCACGTGGGCCCCGCACCAAAAGTCTCGCAAGGGGGACATCATCCTGAACAGGAAGAGGTCTCCAGGCTCCGGCTCCCTGTCGCTCAGCTCCACAATCTCAAAGTGCTGACCCAGGTAAGCCTCAGAGAGGAAGAACTTAATGGTGCTGACTGCCCCAGTCACGGTCTGGGAAGAGAAAGGGATTAGGCCACAGGGCATTTGCACATGTTGCTGGAAAGAGTGGTTGGGTCCTTCCACTGACCACAGTGCTGCATCCCGGGCTCCACACCTGCTTCTCTGTGCTGAGTGACTCCAGAGGCCTGGACATCAGGTACTCAAACATGCTGTCCCAAGCCACCCCTGAGAACTGCACCCTCCCCCAGCAATGGGGGCCTCCTCCCCCCCAGCCAGTCTTATCTTCTCATTGGGTTCCAGCTGCTTCTTTCTCCTCCCCTCCCCCTGCTGCGGGCCCCCCTTCCCCAACCATCTCCCATCTTGCCACTCCTGGAGGCAGCACCAGGTTGCTGTCCGGTGGTACCTGGGTTGAGCAGGAGATCTGAAGAAACAAGAAAGCCTGGGTGAGATCTGGACCCCAGCACGGGCCTCTCCTCCCAAGTCCAGCAACCTTAGCCGCAAACATCTTTGGAGCAGCTGCCTCTTTGATCCTTTGTGTAACCACAAGAGAGATACCATGGGGGCCGGTGCTGTGGCATAGTGGGCTAAGTAAGCCTTGGCCTGCAGCACCAGCATCCCATGTGGGTGCCGGTTCGTGTCCCGGCTGCTCCTCTTCTGATCCAGCTCTCTGCTATGGCTGGGAAAACAGTGGATGATGGCCCCTGCACCTGTGTGGGAGACCTACTCCTGGCTCCTGTCTTCAGATCAGCTCAGCTCTGGCTGTTGCGGCCATTTGGGGAGTGAGCCAGTGGATGGAAGACCTTTCTCTCTGTCTCTCCCTCTCTCTGTTTGTAACTCTACCTCTCAAATAAACAAATAAATCTTAAAAAAAAAAGAAGGGTACCATGTCCCCACTTCCAAGGTAAGGACACAGGTTCGTCACCAGAGTGCACACAGCTGATGCGTGCCTATGTGACCCTGTGTGCCTAACACCAGTCACTTCTCTTCCTCTATTGGAAAGTGACAGATCCATTTCCTATCTTTTTTTTTTAAGATTTTATTTATTTACTTGAGAGCTAGAGTTACAGGCAGTAAGAGGGAAAGACAGAGAGAAAGGTCTTCCGGCCACTGATTGACTCCCCAAATGGCCACAATGGCGGGAGCTGTGCCGATCCAAAGCCGGGAGCTTCTTCCGGGTCTCCCACGTCGGTGCAGGGGCCCAAGGACTTGGGCCATCTTCTACTGCTTTCCTAGGCCATAGGAGAGAGCTGGATCAGAAGAGGAACAACCAAGACTAGAACCTGTGCCCATATGGCATGCTGATGCTGCAGGCAGAGGATTAACCTACCGTGCCACGGCGCCGGCCCTGCCACCTCCTATCTTTACAGAGGGCTTTGGGGATTAGGAACATGGTCCCATTGCCTGGGCTGTGCCCAAGATTCAGTCTCAGAGCCTGGGAATGGAGTGGAGCTGGGGCCCCCAAGGGCAGTGAGCTCTCCTAGAGTGGTAGAGAGCTGGGAGCAGGAAGTGACACATACACGCGCGCACACACACGCACATGCACACACACACACACACACACACACCCGGGCCTCTGGGCATCTTCGTGGGAAGGGAGGTGATTGACTCCAGCAGAGCTACCCTGCGTGGGAAAGACCTAGACACAAGTGGTGCGGAGCCGGGCTGCCCAAGCCCACGCTTCAGAGGGCGGCCGCCCCGGGCTCACTGCCCCTCCCACCCAGACCGTTCCTCTCCCTCCTGTCCTCGGCTTCCGGCTGAGCGAGTCTCCTTTTCTCCAACTGGGAGCCACGGAAGAGCCAGGCAACCATCCCAGGCTGCCTGAGGACTTTGCACATTTCGGAATTGAAAGCCTCATATCCCGGGCACCCGGGAAAACCTGGGCAGCCACTCGCCCCCAGAGCTCAGGCCTGCAGCTTCTGCCTCCCTGGACCTCAGAAAGCCGTGGGCAGGACTGAAGCACAGAAGCACCCTTTGGCTTTGGTTAAGGTGTCCTACCGTCCACCGGGCTGGGAGGGCACGGGAGTTGCTGCTTCCCCTTCCCCCCATAGCCACTGGGCCCAAGCAGGGTGACAGCAGTGGATGACGGGGCACCTGCCCTGGCCTCAGTGCAGTCCGCGGGTATCCTGCTTGGGCAGAAGCCAAGATGGACCGAAGATTTCTGCTCCAGTTACCTGGGAGGTGAAGCTCATCTGGGGAGAAAAAGCAGCTGTCACCACCCGGCCCCTCTGCCCGCCGCACACCGTGTCTGAGTGGCTGTGTGGCTCTGTGTCCAAGTGTGGCTCTCCACTCCTGCCTGTGGGCCTGCGCTGGAACGCCGGGCACAGGACCGAGAGGCCCGTCGTGGCTGGGCCATGTCTCTTTATGGGCCATGGGTAAGTCACTTCCTGTCTCTGGACCACAGCTTTCTCCTGTGTGAGTGGCGTGGGGGTGGGGCTGGGCAGCACAGGACCGTGGCCCTGACAGCTCTTTGTGGGCGGGGTCTGCTAATCTAAGGTCTGCCCCCCTGAGCTTGCAGATTCGGGTGCCAAGAGCAGGGCTGGGGAGAGCGCATCTTCTCAGCTCAGAGGACAAGAACAATGGGTTCTCAGAGGCTCGTGGCCTCCCTGTCACCCCTGCCCCAGAGCTCAGTGGAAATCACCCAGCTGGAAAGACCCTGGGAGCCTCTGAAAGCTCCTCCCAGTGGAGGTGGGGTGGGGAGGCTCTCTGGCCACAGTCAGGGTCTGGAGGTAGGGGATCCAGATGAACACGTGGGTGCTGTGTTCGCAGTGAGAGCAGCATGTGCTGTCAGAACCCGTGCCAAAGCCCCGTGTGGCCCTGACAGCACCGTCATGCAGTTGGTACTGTTGGTATCGTTCCCATTTCACAGATGAGAAAACTGAGGCTTGGTGAGGTCGCCAGGGTTACAAGTTAGTAACTGTGGCGGAACCAAGATTCAAGCCGAGGTGGTCTGGCTGCAGGACCCATGTCTTTAACCACTGAACAGTATGGCCTCTCTCATGCTGCCAGCCCACCAGGCTGGCCCCCACCATCCCCCCACCTGGAAGTCCTGATGCTTCCTGGTCTGGACAAAGCTCCCCCCTTACACCTGCAAGGCCCTGGAGCCGTAAGAGCTGGGGACACGGGGTCCCATCTCAGGCCAACTGGCCCGACAACGCTGCCCACCCTGCTGGGTCTCCCTGCGTGCGGCGTGAGCTTCCGTCCCTCTCACCTTGACTGAGGTTTTCAGGAGGATAGAGCATTCACAATGATCCTGTGACTGGGAGTAGGGGTGACCCACAGACTCTCTGGGGTCCAGGGCCCTGCCCTTCCCCCACTGCTAATCCCTGCAGGGCCTCCACCCAGTGTGACCCTGTCCCTGTGCACAGGCCTTGTAGCACCAGCATGGCAGCCCTTGGCCGTGGCTGTGGTCTGGTTTGAACTTCCAGCCGCTGCCCTCCCTTTTGGCCTGGCCCTGGACATCGAACAGGTGCCTCTGTGCAAGGCAAGGCTTTGGGCTCATTCCTCCTCGCCGGCCACCTGTGGCCAGGACAGAGGCCGGGGCTCCCGCCTGCACAAGAGTAAGCATTTCCCCAGCACACCCTGCCCTGGCCCTTCCTTCCCTTACAGAACCTTCAGTCACCCCTTCTCTCTCGGCATGGAGAGAGCCCCCCCGCCCCGAGTCTGCGCCCCCAGTCCAAGCAGCTCACCTTGTAGTGGCCACGCTCCACACCGTGCGGGACAATCTCCTTCTGTGGTCAGAGCAGGCAGGACAAGCTGTCCATCTCGCAGGCAGATAAAGGGGTGAAGCAGGAAGCCCTGGGGCCCTGTTCTGATCATCACTGGCCCGGCCAGTCTGACGACAGTACTCCGTCCTCCATGCAAAGCCTGGGGCAGGTGAGAAGCCAGAGACTGCAAAGCTGGGGTCCTGGGGCCCTCAGCCACCCTCGCCCCTCCTTCTGGTGTTCAGCTGTACCCCAGATCTGCTTGTACCTGCTCAGAAATCAGCTCTCCCCCCTTCCTGGCCTCCAGGGTGCTCAATCCCCTCTCTATTGTGGTCAGAGAAAAGACAGTGAATCCAGCTCCTGTGTGTGGAGGCTCCCTCTGTGGATAACCTATGGTCTACACTGGTGAACTTGCCATGTGCACTTGGCCGTGTGCCTTTGGCAATTGGGGCGTAGTGTTCTGTAAGTATCAATGAGGGCAGAAGTGGTGGAGGCGTTGTTGGGATTGTCTGACCTGACTGATTGTGGGGTACGGTTTTTCTCCGTTGTTAAAAGACTGGGGCTTTAAGACTTCCAACTATGGGGTTGCCTGTTCCTTCAATTCTGTCAAGTTTCGCTGCAGGTTTTGAAGCAATCATTAGGTACATGAACGTTTTATGATGGTTCTGTCTTCCTGAGATGATGACTGTCCCTGCAGATACTGCAGTACTTTGTGCTGTGAGATGGCTTTGACCACAAACCTCATCTCTTCTGCCAGTCACTTCCTTCAGCCTATTGAAGTCATTATTCTAAAAGGACGTCTCCTGTAGCTGGAGGCCACTTGAGTCTTGCTTTTTATTCATTTTGGCAATTTCTGCCTTTCAATCCGATTGTTTCGTCCATGGATATTTAGTGTACTCATTACAATTAGATTTAGGGGCCGGTGCCGCTTGTAGCTCACTAGGCTAATCCTCCGCTTGTGGCACCGGCACATCAGGTTCTAGTCCCAGTCGGGGCGCCGGATTCTGTCCCGGTTGCTCCTCTTCCAGGCCAGCTCTCTGCTGTGGCCAGAGAGTGCAGTGGAGGATGGCCCAAGTGCTTGGGCCCTGCACCCCATAGGAGACCAGGAGAAGTACCTGGCTCCTGCCATCGGATCAGCGCGGTGCGCCGGCTGCAGCAGCCATTGGGGGGTGAACCAACGGAAAAGGAAGACCTTTCTCTCTGTCTCTCTCTCTCACTGTCCACCCTGCCTGTCAATAAAAATAAAAATAAAGCAATTAGATTTAGGTCTGCCATTATTTGTTTTCTGTTTTTCTCTCTCTCAGCACCCCGACTGGGACTAGAACCTGGTGTGCCGGCGCCGCTAGGTGGAGGATTAGCCTAGTTAGCCGCGGCGCCGGCCCTGTTTTTCTCTTCTGATTTTTGTCCCCTTCGCTGACTCCTTTTGGCGTATTTTAAAAGAATTCCATGTTAATTGTCTATTAACACTTAGCTCTACCTCTTTGTCTTAGATAAGGGGGGCTTCAGAAAGTTCATGGAAATTGTGCATTATGAAAAGATTTCAAAATTCGTTTTCACCACAACAAACTTAACTTTTAATTGCATGGTCCATGTAGGGATTACAATATAACTACTTACATTTTAAAAATCTACTAAAAGATAATGTTATACAAATGCACATGAAATACAGACACTTAGTGAAGAGACCCGAATCCCGCATCAGAGTGCCTGGGTTCAAGTCCCGCCTCCACTCTGGCTTCCAGCTTCCTGCTAATGCACACTGTGGCAGCAGGCGATAGTTCAAGCAGTTACTTACCGCCACCCGTGTGGGATCCAGACTGAGTTCCTGGATCCAGGCTTCAGCTGTTGCTTATATTTGGGAAGTGAATCAGCAGACAGGAGTTTTCTGAATGTGTCTCTCGCTACCTCTCAAATAAATCAATAAATAAGCCTTTAAAAAAACAAACCATAAGAGGCCTTGCAATGATATCGATCCATTCACCACCATCCCCTGCTCCATCTTTTTTTTTGCTATATTTGTAAATATATTTTATGTACATGCATTACCATTTCCACAAGATACTGTTGCAAGTTTTACTTTAAGCTGTCCTGTGTATTTATTTATTTTCAAGTATTTGAAAGGCAGAGAGACAGAGGAGATGGAGAACTTCCATGTGCTGGGTCACTCCCCAGATGCCTGCCACGGGCCAAGGGCCAAGCCCGGCCTAAGCCAGGAGGAGCTAAGAACTCAACTGGGGTCTCCTGCATGGGGAGGCAGGGACTCGGCCGCTGGAACCGTCACCTGCTGCCTCCTGGGGGTGCATTAGCAGGAAGCTGGAATTGGAAGCAGAACTGGGGCTTCAACTCAGCACCAATACAGATCGCAGGTGCCCCAAGTGCTGTGTTAGCCACCGTGCCAAACACCTGTCCCATCCTCTGTGTGTGTGTGTGTGTGTGTGTGTTTATTTATTTGAAAGGCAGAGTTACAGAGATGGGAAGAGACAGAGCGATATCTTCTATTCGCTTGTTCATTCCTCAAACGGCCACAACAGCCAGGGCTGGGCCAGGCCAAAGCCAGGAGCCAGGAGCTTCTTCCAGGTCTCCCACATGGGTGCAGGGGCCCAAGCACTTGGGCCATCTTCTGCTGCTTTCCCAGGTGCATTAGCGGGGAGCTGGGTCGAAGTGGAGCAGCTGGGACATGAACCAGCGCCCATATGGGATGCTGGTGCTGCAGACAGTGGCTTAATCTGCGGCCCTGTCCCATGTGTTTTAAAGAAAGATAAAAAGAAAAAGTCTTTTATATTAATGCAGGTATTCACCATTGCCAATCTCCTTCATTTGTTCTTGAAGGCCTAAGATTTTCTGCGATTTCATTTCCCTTTGCCTGAAGAGTTTCGTCGGCATTTCTGGTGCTACAGAGCTGGTGATGGGGTTTCCTTTCTTCTGAAAACCTTCATCCCCCCACCAGACGTGGAATTCCGGGTTAGCAGCCCTTTCTCTGCGCTCCTTAGAGATTCTGAACTCTGCAGCTTCGGGGGAGAGAGAAGTCAGCGCTGACTCAGATCGGTCTCCAGACTGTCACCTGTTGTCTCTGGCTGATTTCCAGGTTTTATATGTAGACTTGTTTTCATTCTGATTGTGAGGTGCCTGGGCGTGGTTTTCTTCATATTTATCTTGATGTGCTTCCTTGAGATATTCAGGTCTCTACATTTTTGTCTTTTACCGACTTTGGGGACTTTTTATTTGGCCGTTGCTTCTTCACACATTGTCTCTCTTCTAGAACTCCAGCTAATACCACTGCCCTGATGCTGTGGGATAAGTCTTTTTTTGTTTTGTTTGTCTCAATATTTCTTTGATTTTACAGATGCTTTCCTATGGAATCCCAATTAGTTTTTTTAATTTTAATTTTAATTTTAATTTTAATTTTTATTTTTTGACAGGCAGAGTGGACAGTGAGAGAGAGAGACAGAGAGAAAGGTCTTCCTTTGCCGTTGGTTCACCCTCCAATGGCCGCCACGGCCGGTGCGCTGCGGCTGGCGCACCGCACTGATCCGAAGCCTGGAGCCAGGTGCTTCTCCTGGTCTCCCATGGGGTGCAGGGCCCAACCACCTGGGCCATCCTCCACTGCACTCCCGGGCCACAGCAGAGGGCTGGCCTGGAAGAGGGGCAACCGGGACAGAATCCGGCGCCCCGACCGGGACTAGAACCCGGTGTGCCAGCGCCGCAGGCGGAGGATTAGCCTAGTGAGCCACGGTGCCAGCCCCCCAATTGGCTGTTAAGCTCACATTCAATTTTTAAACTTCTTTTTAGTTCTAGAATTTCTGTTTTTTAAAAAGACTTATTTATGTATTTGAAAGACAGAGTTACAGAGAGAGGAAGAGACAGATCTTCCATCTGCTGGATCACCCCCCAAATCGCTGCAATGGCCAGGGCTGGGCCAGATTGACGACAGGAGCCAGGAGCTTCTTCTGGTCTCCCACATGAATGGCAGGGGCCCAAGCACTTGGGTCATCTTTTGCTGCCTTTCCCAGGCCATTAGAAGGAAGCTGGATCAGAACTGGAGCAACCAGGACACTAAGCAGCACCCAAATAGGATGCTGGCATCGGAGGCAGAGGCTTAACTCACCACGCAACAATGGCAGCCCCTAGAACTTCTATTTTTTTAAGTAGTTTTGTTTTCTCTGCTAAAATTCCATATTCACTTGCCAGTTGTGACTGTGTTTCTTCTTGAAATCTTTTGTAGATAGCTGACTCAAAAGTTTTCTCCCCAGATGGCCCTTGTTGCACAATGGATTAAGTCACTGCTTGTGTCACTGGTATCCCATACCAGGGTGCCCTTTTGAGTCCCTGCCTCCCACATGGGAGACCCAGATGGCGTTTCTGACTCCTGATTTGGCATGACCCAACCCCCAGCTGTTGTAGCCATTTTGGCAACAGATGGAAGATTCTTTCTCTCCTTTCTCTCTCTCTCTCTCTTTCTCTCTCTCTCTGTTTCCCTCTCTGTCACTCTGCCTTTCAAATAAAGAAATAAATGTTCACAAAAAGTTTTTTTCCCAATATTAGAGGAGGATAGTCTCGGTTATCTATTTCCATTCACCTTTCTTTTCAATTACATTTTCTTTTTTTTTCTGTTTGCGTGTGTAAGACTTTAAAAAGTCATACAAAGGATATTTGAGATGATGTCTTATAGAGATTCTGAATTTTCTAAAGATTTATTTACTTACTTGAAAGACAGAGAGAGAAGATGAGAGAGAGAGTGAGAGGGAGATGCATCTTCCCCGCACTGGGTCAGTTCCCAAAGGGCCACAATGGCAGGGGCTGTGCCAGACTGAAGCTGGAGCCTGGAACTCCATCCTGGTCTCCCACGTGGGCGGCAGGGACTCCAATATCTGGGTCATCGTCTCCTGCCTCCCAGGTGCATTAGCAGGGAGCTGCATCAGAATCAGAGTAGCTGGGACTAGCTCCAAACTCCCAAACAGGATAACAGGATGCTGGTTTTTTTTTTTTTTTTTTTTTTTTTTTTTACAGGCAGAGTGGACAGTGAGAGAGAGAGAGAGAGAGAGAGAGAAAGAAAGGTCTTCCTTTTGCCGTTGGTTCACCCTCCAATGGCCGCCGTGGCTGGCGCACTGCGGCCGGTGCACCGCGCGGATCCGATGGCAGGAGCCAGGTACTTATCTGGTCTCCCATGGGGTGCAGGGCCCAAGCACTTGGGCCATTCTCCACTGCACTCCCTGGCCACAGCAGAGAGCTGGCCTGGAAGACGGGCAACCGGGACAGAATCCGGCACCCTGACCGGGACTAGAACCCGGTGTGTCGGCGCTGCTAGGCGGAGGATTAACCTATTGAGCCGCGGCGCCAGCCAACACAGGCTCTTTTCAACAGTAGAACAAGACGAGGATGTCCGCTCTCACTGTTTCTAGGAAACACTGTAGTGAAGGTCTTGGCTAGTACAGTAGGAGCAGAAAAAGAGAAGGCAAAACTAATGAAAGACACAGCAGCACCTCTGTTGGAGCTTGAGGTCTGTACCACCCACCTCAGGTTATTCCAAATGACATCTGCTATCCAGCAGCATGGTTGTGGAGACATGAAATCCCAAGTGCCAGGTATTGCATAAACTCAGGGTTCTATTTTACAGACGGAGAGACAGATAAGCGAAGTTGCTCGGTGAAGGTCACAGAGCCCAGGCCTGCTTGATTGTAAAGCTTCTTCTGTGTAAGGACTCTCCTGCCGGCGCCGCGGCTCACAGTGACACAGGAAACACACAGGACACACAGAACAAACCCGCGAAGCTTCTGCTCTCCCGCCAGCGGCACCTGCCTTGGAGGTGAGAAGGGAGGTCATTCACAAGGCTGCCACGAGGATGGGGCAAATGAGGTGCTTGCCTTGGGCACAAAACTTTATCAGGGGCTGATGCTGTGGTGTAGCGGGTAAAGCCGCTGCCTGCAGTGCCAGCATCCCATATGGGCACAGGTTCAAGTCCCGGCTACTCAACTTCCGATTCAGCTCTCAGCTGTGGCCTTGGAAAGCAGTAGAAGATGGCCCAAGTCCTTGGGCCCCTGCACCCACGTGGGAGACCCAGAGGAGGCTCCTGGCTCCTGGCTTCAGATTGGCGCAGCTCTGGCAGTTGCAGCCATGAGGGAGTGAACCATCAGATGGAAGCCTGGCTTCTCTCCTCTCTCTGCCTCTGCCTCTCTGTAACTCTGCCCTTCAAATAAATAAATAAGTCTTTA